TCACAGGCTCATTTGAGGCCAGTAATCTTGTTTGAACCTTTTGAAGGTCATGGTGACCAAAATCATACAAGACTGCGCTGAGTTTTGCATTTGAATAAGCGACAAAGATTACGCTAGGCAGTACCTTCCTAAAACAAAATGTCGACCCGGGTCATCTTAGGTCAATGCCCTGTTCCGATCTCTAAGAAGTCAATGGAAGATGTATAATGCGGTTCGTGCTATCAATAAATTCGAAGTAAGCACCACAAACTATCCCATACAGCAAGCCCTACAGTAATAAATCAGGCTGGTTTTGACCTTGGTCTGACCTTTATACATGACCTTAGGTCAACGTAATTTGATGATTCAATATTTGTGGTGCCTAAGAAAGCATCTCAGAGATGTATGGCTTCGTCAAACACTCCGTTATTGTATCAGACTGGACGATTCCCTGGAAGTTGCTTTCGCTGAAACCATGGCCTAACTTTTGACCTGCCATAGGTCAGCGACCTTACAAGATACATCTAAATTTTTGATGTCAAACGATCCGCTATTCAATTGTCTATAGCTATGCAACATTTGGCACGGCTACGCCGAGCCGTTCGGAGATCATTCTTGAAAACCTTCGGGGGGGGGGTCAATATGACCCCCTCTACCCGAGCGCGTGTTCAGGCAAGCCGTGGCTACGGTCAGCACTCGTCGTTGACACACTCAGCCCTGGGCCGGCCTGGATCAGGGGCTGCACTCAGTTCTTACTGCGAACGCTTTTTGTGGAGCTGCGCCAGTTTGCATGTCACAGGGGGCAGTTAGCCCAATGTTTATGTTTTGCAGCAATCTTAAGTTTAGGTGTGGGGTGAGGCACCAGGCCGCCATCAGATTAGATGTGGGGCAAGGCACCAAACCGCCACCACAGACGGGTATGGGGCGAGGCGCCAGATCGCCACCACAGACCAGGTGTGGGGCGAGGCAACAGACAGTCGCTTCAGACCAGGTGTTGCGCGAGACACCGAACCGCCTCTGCAGGCTAGGTGTGGGGTAAGGCACCAGACCGCCTCTACAGGCTAGGTGTGGGGCAAGGCATCAGACCGCCGCTACAGACTGGGTGTGGGGCGAGGCACCAGACCGCCACCACAGACCAGGTGTGGGGCGAGGCAACAGACCGTCGCTACGGACCAGGTGTTGCGTGAGGCACCGAACCGCCTCTACAGGCTAGGTGTGGGGTGAGACACCAGACCGCCGCTACAGGCTAGGTGTGGGGCAAGGCACCAGACCGCCGCTACAGACTGGATGTGGGTTGAGGCACCAGACCGCCGCTACAGGCTGGATGTGGGTTGAGGCACCAGACCGCCACCACAGACTGGATGTGGGGTGAGGCACCAGACCGCCACCACAGACCAGGTGTGGAGCGAGGCACCAGACCGCCATAAAAAAAACCAGGTGTGGGGCGAGGCTGAGATGCATCTGACAAATGGCGACGTCTGCCAAGTCAACCATAAGCAGAGAGGCGGCAGTAATGTCCGAGCTGTGCGATTGCTCCGGCGTCATGGAGATATTCCAGAAGTGAAGCGAGGAACCAGCGCTGCTGCAAATGGTTTTTAACTTAGAGCATCGTGAGCGGCTATAATTAAAACAGCGCAAGCGGGGGTCACCCTGTCAGGCGACGTCGCTTCACGATTATGGTCGCCACGCTTTTAGCAAAGAATCGCTAATCCAAGCTCACCAAGTCGGGACCGTGTAAGATGTGTGAGGCAGTACATGGACTTCAAACTCAAATTGGGAACGCAAGCAGCCCATCAACTCTCCAGTGCTTAACAACATCGCATGTTCGGCTGCAACATGCAGCAACTATACCGACAATTCAAGAATCTTGTCGTCTCTGACCCAAACGATTCAAGCCTAGCCGCACGACAACAGCCGTGTCCAGAGTCTGCGTATGCACAACTGGCCACATTGTCGCGACTGCGTGAGGCTTCTACTGGACATGGGGCCACACAGCTCATGGTTAGAGCCACTGCGCAGCCGAAACCGGCACCTGAGGAGCGCGCGTGCGCCTGCAGCTGTGCAGGACGGCCGTCGGGCACACAGGCGAGGTTGCGGCCCGATTGGGCGGCTGGCACGGGTGCGTGGAGCTCCTCGTAGAATGCAGCGGCGCGTGCGACCGCGGCAATCATCAACACAAGCCCACTTCCGCGACTGTGGTCTCATTGCCTACCCCACGGACCTTCGCACACGCCAATGGCGAACGTTGACGTTCCGGCGCATTGCAGACGGCACTATTTAAACGGAGGGCTTTCAGCGGCTGACACTCACTCTTTAGTTTCGCTCAGGCTGCGCTAAATACCTCTATATCGGTGAGTTGCCACTCCAACGCATCAACCTGGTAAAAGTGCGGCAATACGTGAAAATAGACACAACTTTGCGGGCATGAATAGAAACATGCATGCAAAGTCAACCTTCGCCGGTTATTCCCAGTTGAAGTATTTGAACGTACCCTAACGGCGACCGCCGTTCTTGTTTGACGTGCTGAAATCGTCTGAGCAGCTTGCCTCCCCGGTCACAATCACACAACGCCCCCTCCCGCCTGCCAGTGCCCCCACTACCCCGGCCGCCGGCCCCTGTGCCGCCCCCGGCCAAGCTTCCCAATGACTGCCTCCAACGTGACGACTCCGCGCTCTGCCATAGACACCATGCAGCTGCGCCTCGCCCTGCTCGCGCTGTCCGCCGCCCTGCTGGCCGCCGACGCCACCGTCCTGCTGGCCACCGGCACCGGCGTGGTGGGCCTGACGGCGACCACGAGCGCCGTTGCGCTGGCCGGCGTCACCGGCCTCGCGCTGGGCGCCGGCCTGCTGGGCGTGGCCGCGCTGTCCGGGGGTCGCCGCCGCGGCGGGGGCCGTCGCCGCGGTCGGCGTGCCGCCGACGGCCGCGCCGGCGAGACGCTGATCGACCTGGTGGCCGCCGCCGACGCCGACGGCTGCGCGCTGAAGCTGGTCTGCCTGCTGGAGGCGATGCCGAAGGCCGAGCGCCGCCCCGAGGCGCGCGCCATACTCGAGCTGGTCGGCGAGCCGGCGCTGCTGCCGCCTGCGCAGGTCGACTCGCCGCGCGAGACGTACCTGTACGCCGCGTACCTGGGCACCTCGCAGGGTGAAGCCGGCTGCCGGGCGGCTTTCCCCGCCTGCGGCTTCGGGCTCGACGAGATGATGGCGTACGTCGACCGCATTAGTGCCTAAGGCGCACCCCCTCCTCACCGGGCGTGGCTTGTGGCGGGCAGACGGCGACGTCTCTCTGACGGCCCCCTCCTTGCCTTTGACGTGTTTGCGTGGCGCCTGTGCCCCAAGGCAAGAGACGCAGCGGCTCGGCCTTTTACCTGGCCAATACCCCGTCAAGGTGCGGCTTTTGAAGGGAAAGCTTCTGTCATTTCATCACCTCTGTGTTTACTGCACTGTAGCGTGCTACACAGCCGTGCCCACATTCTCTGTGATTAATTTCAGAGTGAAATACAAAACCCCAAAAGGCATTTCGCGATTTGGGCAGGATGCTACATGAGGCGACGAGAGATGTGGCAGGTCGCGACAGATAGAGGCCTAATGAACCATTTCTGTCAAACTGTCTGAGCGTGGAATCCGCTGCTAGAGCTGCTTACAAGCGCGAATTCAAAGGACTTACACGAGACCTCACACTAGCAAATACAGTCGCTGCGTTTTAAGCTTTACATAATCGTCTCTTTTCTCGTGCAAACTGTCCGAAAATGGTACAAATGCACGCGACAGTTTTTTTGTACGCATAAGTAGGATGCACTGTGCTGTGTAACACCGCAAGATCAATAATCTGATCGACCAGACGTAATGCCATCTTCTTCGATGTGCAACGACACGTACCTGGGTAGTGACCGAACGCGGCCAATAACTGAAACTTCAGTTCTGCAACTACCGACAGGTGGCGGACTGACCACATGCTCTGGCAACGCATTTCTTCCCCCCTGCTCAAAACCCCTAGCCAGTTGTTGATAACTTTTCGACAGTCACCATCCGCTAAGGTTGCACCACATGAGAGCACACTCTGCCGCCGCCGTCCAGACCCATCCGGAATGTACCCGCTGCCCTCCACGGCGGCACGAACAGACCGCTGCGATCTGCCCCTCTCATTAGCGGAGCGCGCCTACCGGGGTCGTACATCGGCGCAGTTGATAACCTCTTGAGTAATTTCTGACAGCATGACAACTGTGGCTTGCAGAAAACAGCAGCGCATATCCCCTCCGGACCTAGCACACGACGTCCGAACAATCTACACGAGAACCCGCTCCACACCGGTTGCAGGTATACCGTCATCAGTTGGCACAGTGCTAACGACATCATTCATGTTTATATTATGCATACCGATTTTTCGTCAGCTTCAGTGGGTGCTTTCTGTTCTCTACTCACGCGCACAGCTATAACCGAAACGAACGACGAACACGAACAGGTAAGAACACGTCATGGATGGGCGAAAAAAACAGCGTCACGCGATGATCTGATGAATACATTTTCAAAACCAGCATGAGAACAAGACGACCACGTGCCCGGATCACACGCTTCAAACACTTCCTTTATCATCCCATTGCTGTCTCGGACAGCTCAAGCACCTTCAACAGATCACTTCCAGTTTGCTCCGCAGACTGTTCTCAAAACGTGGTCGCGCAGACAAAACACAGACTGCCTTCCAGGGCACACAAACCATATCTAGATGACAGTCACAAAACTTTTGCTTTCTTTCCAACACATTTTCAAGCAGCTGCAGACACCTGCTCATGAATGCAGTCCTCTCTTGCAGTCCTATCTGGAGGCGGGGGCGCCCCATCAACCAGCAGCCATTGTCCACGAGTTATCCACTCCATTGTCCGAACACACACACACGCACACGCACACGCACACGCACACACACACACACACACACTGCTTCGCACGCCTCACAGCTCATGGCGCAGGCAATGTCTTCGGGGGTCCACCCTCGCCACTCACCGCCGCGCCGGCAGCGCCACCCGCCCTTCACTCGAGCTTGCGCCGTTTGCTGAGGTTCTGCAGCAGCTCGGACAGCTGGAACTGGCTGCCGCCGCCGAAGGCCGCGGCGGCGGCTGCGGAGGCGGCCGGCACCGGGTCGGCCGGGGCCGCCGCCGCCTTGAGGTCGGCGGCGAGCGGCGCCGGGCGCGACTCCGTGCCCGCCTTCAGGTTGCGATGCTGCGGGAAGGTGGGCATGAGACGCGGGTCGCACGGCAGCGGCTGCTCCTTGAAGTACGAGCTCTCCAAGCACTCGTCAGCGGTGGCGCGCTTGCGCGGGTCGTACATGAAGAGGAAGTTGAGCAGGCGCAGGCCCGAGTTGGACAGCCAGGAGAAGCGCTGCTTGAGGTTGTTGTACGGTTGCTGCTTGAGCGTGAAGTTCTCGAGCGCAGGCAGTTGCGAGTAGCCGGGCCAGATAGTGTCATTGGGCGTGCCCAGTAGCTCGATGACGAGCTCCAGCTGGTGGATCTCCGAGCGGCCCGGCAGCAGCGGCTTGTGAGCCAGCAGCTCGCCCAGAATGCAGCCGGCTGCCCACATGTCAATGGCCGTAGTCTGCGCACGCGCCATCAGCAGAAGCTCCGGCGCCCGGTACCACAGCGTCACTACCTTGGGCGTCATCGGTCGCGGCGGCGCGCCGTACAGCCGCGCCAGGCCGAAGTCGGCGATCTTGACGCAGCCCTTGTCGGTTAGCAACAGGTTGGACACTTTAAGGTCGCGGTGCACGACGAAACTACGGTGCAGGTGCGAAAGGCCTCGAAACACCTGCAACATGATGCACTTGACTTGCGACTCGGAAAAGGGCGTCTGCATGTTGTCTAGCAGACTGGCCAGGTCCTGTTCGCAGTACTCCATCACCAGGAAGATGCTCTCCATGCTACGGCCCACCGCCACCTCGTGCAGCTTCACCACGTTCTCGTGCCGGCACTTGAGCAGAATGGCGATCTCGCGCAGACCCGATACCGGCAGGCCGTCCTTCTCCTTCTCCATGCGCATCTTCTTCAGAGCCACGATCTGGTCGGAGCGCGTGTCGCGAGCGCGGTACACCACGCCGTAGGTGCCCTCGCCGATCCGGTTCAGCTTCTCGAACTCGGAGACGAACCGGCAGCGGCCGAGGATGTCGCGCTCTGGGATCTCCATGGCGCGGCCCGTCAGGAACGAGGTGAGTGTGCCGCTCGCTTTACGCTGCGACTGCGCCCGCGCGTCTGGGCCGGCGGCGAACTGCTCCTCCATGGTCGGCTGGCAGCCCGTGCACCAGCTGGCTATGCAACAACAACACAACTGACAGCTGACTTGTATGTTTGGCAGGAGAATATTGCTCAACAAGACACAGGAATGTATATATGCCCATGTTTTGGGGGCAGGCATTGCAAAATAAGTTGACTCTAAGACATGCTAGCTGGGAGGGCCACAAAACAAAGACTTATGTATAGTCCTGTATACAGCAAACAGACAAATGCCTGTTCCAACTCCTATGAGTAGACTATTGACCCATCAGGCAAGGTTGTTAAGGTCATGGGGGCTTTACTGCATGCTTATCTGTTGAGGCTATCTGGTGTCACCTGCCTGCCACCCTGGCAGGCAGGGCATGCACCAAAGGGAATTAAACACCAGGTGTGGTCAATTTATTTCTTGGTAGCATGAATGGTAGCATACACATCTTTGTTACAAAATGTCATACACAGCTTCCTGGAGAACAGCATGCCACCTGCCACTGTCCTGTTTCAAGATATTGGCAATTTTGGGCAATAAGACTCAAAACAATTTTCAAGACAAAGTTATGTGGAACAATTTGTCCTGGCATCTGGATTCCATGCATGCAGGCATGAGGCTCACTGCATCTATGAGACATAGGCATCAACTCTGCGGATGAGTTTTTTACACACTGATACTACGCTTTCAGATAGTATTCCCAAGCCGATCAGGGCCAGTAATACACCTGTTCTGGAGCTTATATCTTGGGTCTCAGGTCCTAGAAACCTGAAGTATGCAAAATTTACCTTTATTATGCTGTAACGGTGTGGTTAGTGCTTGTGTGCACGAGCACAACATGTATGTGGATTACAAATCATGTGGAATATTATAAGCTTGCATATAATTTAAAACTAAGACATTCAGTGACCCTAGACAGCCTTAAACAAACACAAATCATCGATTACCTTCCTATGGACCCAGTCCTAGTGAGTTACAGACTGAGCGCCCGCTTAGATTCAGTACACTACGAGTTAAATTAGCACTACCCACCTGTTCCTGTTCTCGATCGCCGGTCCAAAACTACCAGAACTCTCGTACGCAGATTCTCTTATCGTCGGGAACTCTGGTCTCAAAGCTATTAAGATTATAAGACATAAGCTCGCTACTGATTCTTCAACTTCTCCCTAACAGCTGCCCCATCTTAGCCCCAACAGCGCAAGTGGAGCATTCCCGCGGTTCTCGCAATACCAACGACGCGTAGCACCGCAATGCTACCGTTAGATAGCCTTGAATGCCACCGAACTCTTCGTCGGCGCCAGGATTGTCCTGGGCGCGGCATAATGAGACAATTTAAGTTACCAACTACATCACGGACGTATTTTTGCATCCAGATCGTAAGAGATTTTTCCTGACGAAAATGACGTCCTAACTGGGTCCTTTGCCAATCAGGACCCCCATCACCGAACGGTGGACACTCTAACACAATTTCACCATGGGCTCGTTAAATCGAGCTGAAGCACATGGTCCAATTATGGGACCACCTGGGGCGGTCAGGGATGTAGTTGCGCCAATGAAGGTCTCTGCGTCGATCCCGGGCCAGCTGCGCGGGTCAGCAGGCCTCCCGCGTCAGCGTGGGGACCAATGTGATATGATGTATCCCTCTAAAGTTCTCCGAATCGACCAGGGGATTCTGCCTGATGTCGCCAGAATGGCAGCCGGAAGACACTCCGCGGTGGAACGGGATGGCCCGCCACCCCTTGACCGGGAACGACATGCGTCCCTAGCGATGCACTCAAAGGACCCTTGCCCAGCAAGAAATAGAGGGATCCGCTAGTGTTGAATAGAGAGGATCGAAATTAGTTCAAAAGCGAACAAGTCCATCGCATGCTTGGCCCAGAACGCTCATTCTTTTGCAAAATCGATTAGTGAAACCAATTACACCAAAAGGTTTTAGCCTGCGCGCCGGAAATATCAGTAGCAAGGGTAGCGATGGTCTGGGTCGCAATTTCCGTAAATCCGAACGGCGTTGGCCACTGCAAGCAACATCAGGCGGCGGACGTCGTCCGCGCGAGAACGGCCGTCATGAAATAGTATATACCTATAATACCTGATGTCTTTCAAACTTAATTCGTACCTTTTAAAGATTAGACTGGTAAATCTTTTTCATCTTTGGGGTTGTCCTCTGGGCAGATTAACAAGTACAGCTGCACGGAAAATGGAGACCCTCAGAAGCCTTTACTCTTCCAGGCGAACCACCAGATTCCAGCACCACTTCGTGGTGCCGTGAAGACCAATCCGTTCTTATCATCAGTCTAAAAATTGCGTCGTTGAAATAGACACCCGGCTAACTTCTAAATGCATGGTTTGATGTCCTAAAACGCTAAAAGTTCCTCCCGCCAAGAGTGCCATCATTTTCGTCCACTTATTGGCCACAGCCTGATGTTAGCCGCGGGCCATCGCTCCGTGGTCTACGGAGACTGCAACGCCTGGCGTCGAGCTTTTTGTCTCTCAAAGTTTGCCAACGCTCATGTTTGAAACCACGTTGCATAACTTGCATCATTTATCTATTCTAACTGAATTTTAAGCATCTCCAGAAAACCATGGCTGGGCCATATTAACGCGAAATGTTGATCCGCTTCAACCTAATATCGACATTCGGAGGGGTCCCTTATATCTCTTTAGAACCCAGCTAGAGATGCTAACAAAGCTTCTGAATTCTACCGGTTTAGAAAGAGTCCACTGGACCGTCGTAAACTGGAGAGCGCCGGCAACTTATTTCATGCAGTCGTGTAATGCATGCTTTTCACTTTAGGAACGATAAGGTTCAGGCAAAATGTATTTGGCCTTATCTTTTGGGTTCTATTCTTGTTATAGGAGGAAAAATGAAAGCTATCTAAGAAAAACATGCCTGCATTAACAAATGGGCCACTTCCGTCGATTATTTTTATTATTAGGGGACCATTTCTCAACTCTGTGTCCCTTGCCGAAGCTCTGGCTGCGCGCCTGCTAGGCAGGTACCGTACCATTTGCTCAGGGGCTCCGCCTCTCAATTGGCTGCCAGGAGGTGGGCAGCGCAGCCACCTAGTTCGTGGTACATTAATATCGTACTCAACATGGTGGAAAGAGATCGGTATCTAGAGCTGGAACAAGACATCTCGGTATGGGTGTCCTACGTACCTTTACTCCGATTGTGCAGCCAATCTCAGGGGTCAGATAGTGTCAGAGTTGAGCCGCATTATGGGGATCCAGAAAACAAGCACAGTTGCGTTTCATCCACAGGGCAACAACCGCTGTGAGAGGGTCAGTAGCGCCATCTTGGAATGCTGGCCAAGTATCTGTCAGAGAATCACGACCAGTGGGATAAAGATTTGCTCCTACCTGTGCTCGAAACCGCGCTCAGATCCACAAATCGTTGCACTGCAGTCCCCTCTTCACGATGTCTGGTTGCGAGCCCAGGCTACCCGTTAATGCGCAGATAGACCCGCCGTGTGTTGCCCGCTCCGGGTCAGCAGCGCTGTATGTAGACGAGCTATGCGCTGGGCTCCGTACCGCCTACCGTGAGGCAATACGCATTTCTGATGTCAGACACCGATAGAACAAACGATTCTATGAGCGTCAGCTAAACTCATTTGATTACCACGTCGGTGACCGGGTTATGCTTTTTCGTGGCGAGTATCGCGAGGCGAGGCGAGTATCGCGAGGCGAGGCGAGTATCAACGAGGCGAGTAACATAAATTCCTTAGGCCTTGGAAGCCGGCTGTCATTGTCGCCAAGCGGGGTGACCTGAACTACTGTGTGAGGCTGGAGGACGGTAAAATGCTGTGTGTTGCTACGGCTTCTAGTTGAGGTTATAGGGTTAAGGTATGCCTGTGGGCGCCTGCATCTGCGGAAACCTTGGATTCTTCCATCATCTTACGCTGTTAGACACCTGGTCGCATCACTACCCGTCCGCTCTGTTGAGCGTCTCTGGCTTGGTGGCTGAAGGGTCTTCAGCTGCTAATTTTGCGTATATAATGTGTGTTGTGGGATGAGACGTAAGCGGTACTGATGGTGCAGTCGAACTGTGTCTACGTCACTCTGTTTGCGTGTTTCTGTTTGCCGAGCTGATTTTGTGTTTCCCCACATGCTGTCTTGTTTGTTACCTTGCGAAACATACGTTTCCTGGTCCCCAAGGACGTTGCAAAAACGATGCTACCGACTGGGCCTTCTCTTTCAAAGGGGAAAAGAGTACAGTGGGTTTGCACAGCTGCCTGCGTGCTGCTGTCTGTGTTGGTGGTGCGCTTCCTTGTTGGATGCTGGGCCGGCCAGCCTGGCCGGTCCGATCCGGTCCGGTCCTGTTCGATCCGGTCCGGTCCGGTCCGGTCCGGTCCGGTCCGGTCCGGTCCGGTCCGGTCAGGTCCGGTCCGGTCCGGTCGGCCCGTGCCGGTCCGGGCGCCGGCTCGGGTCACCTTGCCCTGCGCGTCGCGCCGGAGCGCAGCCGTGCGTGGCGCGCGGTGATCGGTCTGTGACCACGTGACCCTTGTCGGGGTCGGGTCGCCGGCCCGCGAGGAGCGGGCCGTTGGAGCGGAGCCGGGCGAGTGCGTGCGTTACCGACATGTCGGCGTTCAGCTGAGCGGAGGCTTCGTGTTGAGTGCATCGCGAGCCATGCCTTTAGCCAACCTCGGCCAGGCTTATAGCAGCGTGCTGTCCTACGTCACAGGCACTTCGTAATATAGTTGAGTTTTTCTCCCACGCAGCGGTTGCGCGAGCATCTTCAGAGGTTTCCCTCGCCAGTCCTCAGAACTGTCGACCTAGTCCCAGCTCTGGGGCCGTCCAACACAGTCGCAGTGCACCAGCAGCCATTTTGTTCTCTGCCGGGCGAGTCGGACGCTGGCGGGGGTTCGAGACACGCCAGTTGGTCCCGTCTGTCCGCGGGGTGAAGGTACCGTGACTAGTGCCGATGGGCGGGTGGGGGAGGCACCGGGCGCGATGAGGCTCCGAGCCAGAGCCGACCTGTGGCTGCTGCTGGCCCTCGCAGCCGACGCAGGTGAGCGGGCCGAGGAGGTGGTGCCGGTGCGGGCGTCAGACCGCCGGACGACCAAGAGCGGGTGGTCGGCTTGTTCGTGTGTCAAGTTTATGCAGGACTTGAGTCTGATCTGCACCTAAATCATGAAAATAAAATAGCTGTGATGCCGCGTGAAATTTTTCCTGTAGCCGAGTAGATGATGTTGGCTGGAATTCCGAGCAGCTGCGAATCTTTAACCGGATCACAGAAAAAGATAGATCTCTAAGATCCTCAGACCCTGGATCTGTAGGCCAATCCTGGTAGAGCCGTGGACCGCCAGCCGCTATGCGGCAGCAATTGTGGCGTACCCGATTCTAGGATGTGAGGCAAACAAAATTTGTTGGACCACTCTATTCACCAAAACTTGCGGAAAGTTCTGTGTGGTTCCGTAATGCACTTGTGATAATTAGTTCACAAAGTGGGAAGTTGGCGCGCACACCACCACAAACATCACTCAAGGTTGTTTTGCTGGCGGAAATCCCCCCCCCCCCCCCTGCCACAACCTCACCAGAGTCGGCTGACCACGCCTGCAGAGGCGCCCGTCCGCCGGTGCCAGCCGTCCCTCTGCGGGAGGTAGGGCGACCGCCGCGGACGGGGCTGCCTGGGTGGGTGAGCCGCGACCCCCCGCCGCGATCGGCGGCGACAGCGACGGGCCGGGCCGCCCGCCGTTATCACAACAGTGTGATGACGAGTAGCATGTTGAGATCAGATCTCCGGGCTTCAGAGGAGATCGCGGTCTCCGTGCCTCAGCTTGTGGAGAGCCGGACGTGAGACCACCGTGTGTAGGTCATTTACGCTCACGTCACAGAACTGCGCTAAAAGGGGTTCGTCTGTGAAGGTCAACTGCCAGCTGGCGGAAAACATCAGGTTGGCAAAGAATTGCCTTACACGGTGTGTTATAAAATTTGTCCGCAAAGATGAACCGTTCAATCGGAATTGCCTCATGGGGCGCTGGAGTCACCGTCGGGGGACTCGATTAAACACACACACACACACACACACACACACACACACACACACACACACACACACACACACACACACACACACACACACACACACACACACACACACACACACACACACACACACACACACACACACACACACACACACACACACACACACACACACACACACACACACACACACACACACACACACACACACACACACACACACACACACCACACACACACACACACACA